TTAGCAGGTCTGGAGGAACATCACCACCCATAGCTATAAAACCTGAAGATGTGATTTGTCAGATCTTATAAGCTAAACAGAGTCAGGACCAATAAGTAACTGGAGAGGAGACCTCCCACTAATATCTAGATGAAGGGTGAAGTAGTGTTGATGATTCAGTAGGTGCCACTCTTTTCTTTAGGTCAGTGCTGAACTAATGCCTCTGCATGTTGTGCAAGGGCACTGCACTGTTGGAAGAAAACTAGTAAAACCAAGAGTAAAACCACAGCTCTTGAACTGTTAGTGCTCCCATGGCACTTTTGGCAAGAGTAAGGTTGCATCAAGGTCATTACTGTCTCATAGACTCATAAACTTTAAAGCCAGAAGGGACCATCGTGATCATCTAGAACCTCACCCACCCACTGCTGTAATAAACCCATAACCTCTGGCTGACTTACTGATGTCCTCAAAACATGATTTAAAGACTTTGCCTAACGAATTCCCCCCTGCAGTTTCAATGGGGTGATTCCTCACTTCCTATTATGCTCTGTTGCTTGATATGCCTATGGGCAAAGAGCTAGAAATGGCTGCACTTAGATGGTAGGTGAAATGGTTCCTCCATGTAATGTTTGTAAAATGCTTCAAGATGAAGGTATTGTATAAATCTTAATTACTATAGTAAAAATCAGTGGCCTGTCGGTGACCAACATGGGGTCCTTAACAGACTGTTTATGACAGTTGGTGAGGCAATTCCCACATTTTGGATATAAAACTGGTGTGTAGGCTCTTTCTACTGTTTACTTTTGGGCAAGTTGTGCTGTTAAATCAAATTCATGACAAACCTTGCTCATCATTCAGATGTTTACATTTAAAATATTTCCTTCCTTTATTTAATAAGTATCTATTATAAACTTAGGGTACTCTATGGTAAAGGCCCACAATACTGTAATTGTTCCATTGGAAGCTGCCCAAGATGAAAAGTTCAGGACTGGTTTTTAATCGGCTGGAAAATCTCAAGAGTTAGCACTTGTTTTTTTTACTCCAAAACCAGAGTTGGTTCTGATCCAGCTCGTGTTTTACCCTGACTCCACTCCCTCCACATTTGTTCAGATAAGTGATTATGGTTTAATCACATATCACAAAAGCATTTGCAAAAAGGGACAAACTGTGTAATCTCAGCCAGCAGGTGTGTAACTTTACAAAAGCTTATTTTTAGTCAATAAATTCTAACAAGCAAAAACAAACCCTCAACCCCATCCTGTAATGTTTTAATTTTTGTAGCTGTGTATCCTGACTGTATAACCTAATGTAATATTCATTTGTGTATCAAGCTGTTAACATTCTGGTGTGGAATGAGGAATTGGAAGAATACAAAAATATCAATGGATGGTTTCTCAAACTTGACAATCCTTTCTGTGATGCTGCATCTCCATCTAGTGGTAGACTTTTAGAGTACATTGTGCATCACAGTGAACACAGCTGCCTTTTCTGAGTTCTTGCCTCTGGACCTTGCAGATACATAAAATGGTTACACCTTACTGTATTCTACCAGTCATGTTTGTCACATCATTACCGTGTCAACATGGCAGGTTTAAAAGCTCAAATGCCTCTGGCATTGTGCTCTGTAGCTTTGCAGAATGAAAATACCAATAAAAGGCAACAAATCCCTGACTCAGGTAGGTAGTTATATACTGAGGACTGTTTCAGGTGGATAAGCTGTAAAACCAGCTGATCACCAATAAGAATTCAATTAGCATTTTAATAAAAACCTCACAGAGAGCCGGGTCGGGAAGAAGCCCCTTAAAAAAAGCAGAGCACAGCAAGTTTGTGCTGAGCCCAGTTACAATGCACTGTTCAGCATCTGTGGCTTTCTTCCCTTTATCTCTCGCCAAGCCACTGTCTCCAACTGTCTCAGACGATTGCTGAGTCTCCTAGAGGCCCAATGGCACACTAAGCTGTAAGGAAGAATTCACGTAGCACTTCCCCCTCACCCTTACTCTGTGTGTGTCTCTCTCAGAATCCAAAGCCTTTTAAAAGTCTCTTCTGTCAACAACAACAACAAATGCTTTGATTTATCCACTATCTCAGTTTTCTCAGAGCCCCTTTTCCTTTGGGTGTTAGCATTTGGCCCCTTCCTTGTGTATGAGCATTTATTTTAAAAGAAAATGTGTGCTCAGGCTGTTTTGACTTTGTCAGCTTCATAAAACTGAAATGGTTGGCTAGGGCAACAAATGATTTTCTGTTTCGCAAAGTTTGGGCATGAAAGATTTTTCTTTGGTGGGTTAAAGGAGAAAGGCTGGAATTTGACAACTTCCAGCCAGTTACAACTTCAGAATGGCACCAGAGAAGCCCTCCCTACCTCTAGTTCCCCACTGGAGTTAAAATGTTAGCTCTGAGTACACTAAAAACAGTGAAGAATTAGGGATTGAAGCTTAGACGCATCAACAGGACACATGGGCCTCCATTTGCCTGTTAATCAAAGCACTTAAACCCTAATCTGGAAAACCTTATGCTGTGGAGGAGTTAATGATTAATGTCTGTGAAGTCCTGGCCCAGATAAGAACTAGCACTGCCAAATGTGATAATGTTGTCCTCTACCATATAATCGCAGCTTGGGCTTCTTCAGATAAGAATGTAGTCTTGTTTCATCTTCAGACATCGATCCTACTAGGACAGGGGTTGCTTATTAAACAGCCATTCATCCTTGCTCCTCAACACACATGCTTCAGAGCAAATATTTTTGCCTATTCTTCTTCCTTTCTCATTGACTTATCTACAGAGCTTAACAATTAAAAATATGCCTTTGCATTTGTATAACATCTTTGCTCTGAGAATCTCAAAATGCTTATAAATATGAATTAAGCCTCAGAATATCCTCTGAGGTTGTCATGGGATATATACGGGTCATTTCATCCACCACTGAAACACAGCCATCTCCTCGGTGGAATTTGGCAGATATTAGATAGCACACAAGAACATCTAAGCAGCAGTTTATAGCAATATGTCAACACCACTCTGTCCAACAGACACTGCAGAGGGAATTTCAATTGGTAAAATATGACCAGATGGAATTTGTCCAGGAAACTGGTTTAATCTGTTCTATCAAATCTTTCAGGAATGCAGCTAAATAAGTCTTAGTCCTCTGTGTGGTGTGAGGTCTCTTTTCCCTAAGGAACACTTCTAGGTCTCAGAGAGAACTACAGCAGCACTAAGTGCAAACTACCAATACCTGCCTCCCCAGAGTCCTCTCTCCATCCTAAGAATGTACAACAAACACAACACAAAGGACTCACTGGAAATGCAAGTTCACAAAGTTCCATAAGCATCATTTCTGTGGGAATTGTTCTGCAGAAAAAGTACTTTTACGACATTTTAACGTGAATCCACTATATGTCTATCTGGTTTCTTATATGGTGTCATAGTATCTAAGCACCTCAAACTTCCATAAAATTTCACATGACCTTTAATAACCACAAGTGCTCATGTCCTCTTTCATCCGGAAGGCCTTCCCAGCACAAGACCTCCACCACTGTGTTGGGGCATTGGTTCAGTCCTTTCTCAGACTGTTACCTACTGAGTCAGCAGTACCACTTCCCTGTGTACCCTGGTATTCCTCAGAAGTCTCCATATTGGTGGCTTCTGCCTAATCCTGCTTGCATATTATCAGCTGTACCAGGTCTATTGTAGCTGTTGTACAATTGTAACTATTCCATGAACAAGTCAATTTTGGTCACTTCCTCCTTTGAGTATCTTGTTTCTAAATGTCTCATCTTAAAGGCCAAAATTTCCATAGACATCAGTGGCTCAGGATTGGCCCCTATATACTTTTAACTTAATCAGCTATATGAAGCTGGGCATATGGTCCGGTTGACTGAGAATAAATGAGTTGATGCACTTCTATTCATCTGTCACCATGTTTTGTCCAGCAACTCCAAATTAGTTTTCTAGACTAAGCAACATCTTGGAATTCTTCACTCCCACACAACGTCTTTTTGCCCTCATGCTTTCCTGGAAGAACCATCACACAACTTGGGAGTCTATTCAGGAGAGGCCTGGCACTGGACAAGGCTTGCAGCAGGTCAAGAATGATATTCATTAGCAAAGCTGAGTGCATGGGTAGCTTACATAGCGCATTATTTAACACCTGCTGTAGCCATTACTATTAGTATCTCATTATGTATTAAAGTTCACATGTGTACAATGAAGAGAGACTATAATGTTTTGTTAAATTTGCATCAGTGGAAAAATCTCTTCACTTCCTTCACTATGAGTGTACTTTGAAAAACCCACTGATTTGTCAAGGAGCAGTTAATCCCTTGTTTATCCTTTGCATCCCTCTGCTATCTCTCTCTCTTTTCTCTGCATTTTGGAGTAGAATGAAATTTCCATATTGTTTCATGGCACTGCAGTGTGCAACTTACAGGGCTGAGAGTTTAAGTTGCTCTACGGATAAAATTTATTCCAATGTATCGGGTGGGCTAGAGTTCAGAAAAGCTTAGGTGCACAATTGTGCTCCTAATTTCTGTGTAATTGCTCTGACTGCATGTGAAGAACAGGTAATTTTATGTGTTGTACAAGTGATCTAAACTGACATTTAGCATGTGCAATTATTGGAGAGATTGTGTGCCTAACTTATTTGAAACTCTTTTCACATATAAAAATATCTGTAGGTTTAGAAACAACAAATATGGAGTTCATTTTCGTGTCATGTTAATTGACTATTTCCCAGCCCACAAATTGTTTCTAATCCTCCCAACCTCCCCAGTAACTAACAAGCATCTCAAGAGTTGAATCTGTATATGTATTGATTACATGAGAGTTGACACAGGTTTGAAGTTGAACCTTTTAAGTTCTTTACCCTTAGCAAAGTGCTTAGCATAAAAAAGACAATTGATTGCAAAGCAGCCAACCGTTTGCCATTTTCTTTCCAAGGGTAGAAGTGGGTGATTGCCTGTAACAGAAGCAAGAAAGTCACAGCTAAGCTCCTTCTGATTCTCTTCCTTCTTTGTTTTCTCCTTTAGTGTGGAAACAATAAATGATGGGCAGTTTCACAGTGTGGAGTTGGTTATGCTGAACCAAACACTGAACTTGGTTGTGGATAAAGGAACCCCCAAGAGTCTTGGCAAACTGCAGAAACAACCCACAGTCAGCATCAACACCCCGCTCTACATTGGAGGTATGTTCAGTCACTCTTCGCAACAATAGCTGAGCCCTCGACAATTTTCCAAAAGTTTCTTCAGCTAATAATACAGCTGGCATCTCCCATCAAATCATGTTGCTGCTATGAAAATGATTTGCCTGGAATAAAGAAATTAAGAGATTTAAAAAATAAGACATTCCAACATTATGGTCTGACAAGATGTTAGTAGCCTCGTTAATTCAACAGTCTGTGAAGCCATGCAGGGTATGCATGGAGATACTGCAGTGAAGGGCATGGCAGAACTTGGATTGGATAGGGAGCATCTGCTCTTCAGCTGTGGTTTTTCCAAATTAACTACATTAAAGCCAAGCACAAATGGCTGCAGGTTTATAATGGATCCCTAAGGGCCATTGGGCCTGATCCAAAAACCATTGAAGCTGATGGTAAAAATTCCCTTTGGCTTCACTGTGTGCTGGATCAGTCCCTTTGTGAATAATCCCTTTTAATAATCCCTTTTCTATGTGGCCGCTGAATTATTATCCTCACAAATCTGAAACTGGATAATCTTGTTTTGGCCAGAGCTGAACCTTAACAATTGGCTCATATAAAGAATGTCAGAGATTAAAGAGCCTCATGCAGCAGAGATGATCTGGCAGCAGAGCTATGAGAACATCTCCCCTGAACCACCCAATCTGCGTAAGAGATACAGCTCTATAAACATAAATAGTATGTCCTATGGAAATAAGCATGAAAAGTTCATGTAATTAGACTTTTGTAATGCATAAGCATATAATGGGGAGAATTAAAGTAGTTTTGGTTTTTGACTACTTCCCTTTGCAAGCTCAATGTCTTCCTAACATAGCTCTGCTAAACATAGCTCCTCTCTAGACGTATTGCAAAATTCTGTCCTTTTATAATTGAAAGCATAAACATTTGACTGAGAGCTTTATAAATTCAAAGGACTAATGTGATGTTACTTCCATGAAGACTCTATAAGGATCATGTTTTAAGTGCAATGTAAAACCAAGGACGTCCCCAGTTATACTCAGGCTACGTCTACACTACCCGCCTGAATCGGCGGGTAGAAATCGATCTCTCGGGGATCGAATTATCGCGTCTCGTCGGGACGTGACATTCGATCCCCGAATCGACGCTTGTACTCCACCAGCGGAGGTAGGAGTAAGCGCCGTCGACGGGGGAGCCGCGGAGGTCGATTTGCCGCCGTCCTCACAGCGGGATAAGTCGGCTCCAATACGTCGAATTCAGCTACGCTATTCGCGTAGCTGAATTTGCGTATCTTAAATCGACCCCCCCCCCCCATAGTGAGGACATAGCCTCACTAAATGTCCCAAGGCACTTTAACAAGTGTTAGTCACAGTGTTCCATCCAATATGAATAGCTGTTTTATGCCTGTCTAGATTTCTCCTGCAATAGTTTTAACTGGCTACATTACTATTTACAGTCCTGACTGTTGCATATTGTTGCTGAGTACTGTTAGCTTTCTTGTTGCATTGCAGAGGTAGCAGCATTTCACTGGCAAACTAAGAAATTCTTAAATAATTTCTAAAGAACTTTGGGATTAAAGTTGCTACAAAAATATAAATAGAAGAACCATGATCTAATGGTTGAAATGCAGGGCTGTGAGTCCGGAGAGCTGGACTTTATTCACTGCTCTGCCACCTTTTTGTGCATTCTTGGGCAAGTATTTTTATCTTTCTGCCCTTCCAATTCCGCATCTGCAAAATGGGAATAATGATACTGAACTACTGCAAAGAGGTGTCCTAAAATTGAATTCATTATTGTTTATGAAGGACCTTGGGATCCTCAAAGGGAAGGTGCTAGCCATTATAATTTATTCTAGTATTATTGTGAATGCAAGATAATCTTTATATTTTGTTTTCTCTGAAGGGATCCCAACATCTACTGGGCTATCTTCATTGCGCCAAGGCACAGATAGGATGTCAAACGGCTTTCATGGATGTATCCATGATGTCCGCATTAATAACGAGCTGCAGGACTTTAAGGATCTACCCCAGCAGTCATTAGGAGTCCTTCCTGGCTGCAAATCCTGTAACATCTGCAAGCATGGCATCTGCCGGTCCATAGAGAAGACAAGCGTTATCTGTGAGTGTCACCCAGGCTGGACAGGCCCACTGTGTGACCAGGAAATTGGAGACCCCTGCCTTAGTAACAAGTAAGGTCACTGGTGCTGATGGGAGTGCTCTCTTCAATAAACTGACTTTTAACTTTTTACAGGGCCGCCCGGGGGGAGGGCGGGTAGGTGAGAGGAAGTGGGGCAATTTGCCCCAGGCCCCGGGCCCCACAGGGGTCCCCACGAGAATATAGTATTCTATAGTATTGCAACTTTTTTTATGGAAGGGGCCCCAGAAATTGCTTTGCCCCAGACCCCCTGAATCCTCTGGGCAGCCCTGACTTTTTATCATGCAGAGCCAGGCTTCATTTTCAGAGGTGCTGAATACCCACAACTCCCACTGAAGCCATTAGGAGTTGTGAGGCCTCTTCACCTCTGAAAATTTACCTCAACCACTTTTTGTTTAGAATGATGGCAGGCCATAGATCTGCTCTCCAGTTCAGGGGGAGTTGAGGCATTTATATCAAGAGCCACATTTTCAGCTGTGGGTGTGCCTGCCAAAATACACAGCCCCACATTGCATACATAAACCCCACATCAATCATACACATTGCATTTGATCCACTGATTGCATATCGTTACCCACGGATGAGTTTTCTGTAGGGGGATGATGTACATTTTGTTGATGCATCCACATCCAAAAGAAAGTGCCCATTACACCATGTGCTAGACGTGATGTTCAGAGTCTAACTCTCCAAAGGCCATCAATGTTGTTCTTTAGAACTATGTATTCCAACTTAAACTGGTTCAGAATCCCCCAAAACTCAGCTGTCCTTAAGAGTTCCCTTTGGAGTAGAACATCTGAAGAACAGCAATAGAGTAAGGAATAGTGTATAGTCCCAGGGAACGGGCTTATGAGTGAAGCATTTATAATTCAAAGAAACAAAGTGCACATTCATGTCAGAGCACTGGATAGATACATTAATTTCCTGACAGGAACACAAATAGACAAACCAGCACAGACCAATGGTCTATGTAGCCCTGTGTCTTATCTCAAACAGATGGAAATACTTTTGTATTAGAAGCTACTCCCATGGTAAGCTGTTGGAGAATCTGTGGGAAAGGGATATTGCAAACATATGGTTTTGACAGGCAGAGTGACCCAATCTGTAATTATCCATGTGATTGATTGGAGTGAACAGGAATTTCACTTGGCACAGCAACCATTTTAAACTAGCTTCTGGGCACAATCCTACAGGGTGCTGAACCCCTCAGGGGAGGTATTGAGCACCCTCAATGCTGGAGATCTGAGTATGCCTAGCACCTCACAGGATTGAAGCCCTTTAAGTTGTAAGCTTTAGTAAAACTAGGTAGGGTAAAATAAGAGACAGATCTGGATACATGACCCTAACCCTAAAAAATGTTGAAATATTGATTTGATTTTTATTTAAACTGGCCTTTTGTTATTGTATTTCACGAAGGAGGATGCACAAGCAGTCCCCTGAGTTTTCAAAATCAGCAATTAGCCAGGATGGCTGGGCAAGGAAAGAATGAGGGAATTGAAGTTGTTTAAATGGTGAAGATTTGTTTCACCCTGGGTGTCCAAAAGAGTGGTAGGTGCCATACAGAGGGCCGTCCTTAGCCATAGGCAGAACAGGCAGCCGCCTAGGGCACCACTCTACCTGGGGGCACTGCTCTGCCAGGAGCCCGGACAGACGGGATGCAGTGGAGCATGTAAGAGCAGGGCTGCTAGGTCCTAGAGAGAGCCGAATGCAGCGCAGTCTGAGGGAGGAGATTGGCTGCTGGGGTCTCTGGGAAGGGAAGGGGAGGGAGTAGGGGTGGGGGAAGGAACTCACCTGTGAGTGTGACTCTTTCCCCTGGCATGAGGTGAGGCAGGCTCGGCGGCTCTGGCACCAGTATCCTTTGTTGTCCCCCATAACGTTCATTCTTCTTCTCCCCCCACCCCCCAAGGAGCACCCCTCTCTCTCTCTCCCCCCTGGGGGCTGGGTTGGGTGAGGTGCTGGGGCGGGAGGCTGGCTGGCTGGCTGCCTGCTGAGGGATGAAAGTGAACGTGAAAGTAACTCACTTCCTCCGCAGCTAGCCAGGATTGGAATGGTCACACGTGGCTGGGCTGGGGATAGCCAGATAGCATGTGCGAAAAATCAGGACAGGGGTTTGGGGTAGGATGAGCAGATGTCCCACTTTTATAGGGACAGTCCCAATTTTGGGGTCTTTTTTTTTTTTATATAGGCTCCTATTCCCCCCCTCCCCATCCTGATTTTTCACACTTGCTGTCTGGTCACCCTAGGTGGGGGTAATTGGTGCCTATATAAGACAAAGCCCCAAATATTGGGACTGGCCCTATAAAATCAGGACATCTGGATCTGGTCACCCTAGCTGGGGAGCGCGTCTCTCCCCCGGGCTGGCAGTGATCCATCTCATCCGGGGGGAGCTGCACAGGGCAGGATGAGCTGCTGTGGCTCCGTGGGTGCCCCGTCCTTGAGATCAGATGCTGAGCTAACTTCACCATGGTCCGTGGGGCTGGTGGTGGTGCCCATTGGCGTGTGATCGGACCTGAGGGTTTGCTGCTGCTGTTGCCACTCTGCACCCCAAGAGGTGGATTTTGGGGTCCTGCAGTTTTCCACCTATCTCCTCCTCTACTGCAGCTGTGGGACCAGCAGGCTGGGGGGTGAGCCAAGCATGAAAGCAGGACTGTGTTGCCATTTAGATTGTCATTTAACAACTTCGTTTGCCAAAAATGCTTGCTAACAATCCTGAATTCAATTTCAATATTTTTTTAAAAAAAATCAATATCTTAGCCAAAAACAGAAAATTAAGTTGTTGACAATTATTTGTGACAAGTTTGGTTTGGGGCAGGGAGTGGGCCAGTTTTCATCAGAGAAACAAAAAATGTTGACTGACTTTCCTATAGTCCTGTTACTGCTAAATAGAGCCCTCCAACAACTGTAATATGCTCATCTCCTTACTAGTGTATAGAGCAGGGGTCGGCAACCTACGGCACACGTGCCAAAGGTGGCATGCGAGCTGATTTTTGATGGCACGCGGCGGCGGGCTGAGCGGCTCAGCCCACCGCCACTCTGGGGTTCCGGCTGCTGCCCCATTGCCAGCCGGGGTCCCAGTCGCCGGCCCCACTCAGCGCCCGCTGCTGGCCTGGGGTCCCCCAAGGAACCCCAGGCTGGCAGTGGGCTGAGCAGGCCAGCGGCTGAGACCCCGGCTGAGCCACTCAACCCGCTGCCAGCCTGGGGTTCCATTCACTCAGCCGGCAGCGGGCTGAGCGGGGCCGGCGGGGGGCTGAGTGGCTCAGTCCGCTGCCAGTCTGGGGTGCTGGCAGCACTCAGCCTGCTGCCGCTCTGGGGTTCCGGCTGCCGGCCCCTTGCCAGTCAGGGGCCCAGCCGCCGGCCCCGCTCAGCCTGCCGCCGGCCTGGGTGAGCAGAACCCCAGGTTGGTAGCGGGCTGAGGGGGGCCGGTGGCCGGGATCCCGGCTGGCAGGAGCTGGCGGCTGGAACCCCAGACCGGCAGCGGGCTGAGCAGGGTCAGCGGCTGGACCCCAGTCCAGCAGTGGGCTGAGCTGGGCTGGTGGCTGGAACGCCAGACAAGGATCCCAGATAAGGATCACACTAAATTGATGAGATCTGCATTTTAATTTTATTTTAAATGAAGCTTCTTAAATATTTTAAAAACCTTATTTACTTTAAATACAACAATAGTTTATTTATATAATATAGACATAGAGAGAGACCTTCTACAAACATTTAAATGTATTACTGGCATGGGAAACCTTAAATTACAGTGAACTTGGCACACCACTTCTGAAAGGTTGCCGACCCCTGGTATAGAGTGACCATATGTTATACTAAGATTCTCTTTTTTTTCCAGTGAGTCAATATAGCTTTTGCCAGCACAGAGGTTGGGCAGCCAATGTCTTACGTTTTCACAATGTTTTGTCCAACTTTCATAAAGTAAATACATGGTTAATATGAATTAAAAAGGCCAGGGACACTTCCTTGTGAAGAATCTGTGCAGCAGATCATGCTAGAGCTGTGAAAATGTCAGTTTTTGATGGAACTTTAGAGGCAGTGATTTATCATGTATTTCTGGCAGTGCCCAAAATGTGCTGCTATTGCTAATGTCTTTCCAGACAAAAATAAGGCACAATAGGACTTCTGTAACATTTTTGTGCTACCTTAATCTAGATGAGATGATTCTGTGCTGACTTCATTTTGGTCACTTTGTGCTTTACTTAGGAGTAAAACTAGGGTTATATTTTCCCACTGCTTGGAAACCCAGCTTATTAAACTGGATAATGCCATTGATCTATTTACAGTATAAGGTTCATATAGAGTTGTAACTAACATTAAAACTGATGCCCGCTATACATTTAAAACTAAAAAGTGGCTTTGTAAAAATGATATGGGTTTCCAACTCTACTGTGTCTCAGTCAGGGTGGAGCGCCTTGTGAGGTGTCTTCACACTAGCTCAAGGTCACAGACTCACAAGTATCCTATATTAGTTATTTTAAATAATATTTCTGATAATCTGACAATAATTTAAACAGTTATTTCTTTAAAAAACACCCTTATAAGTTATGTCGTATCGAAAACAACTTTCCGGGTCACAAAAAAGAAAATGGAAAGATGAAAAAGGATTAGCTATACAAGCACAGAAGGGTTCTATACTTAAGTTTGTACGTCATGAAAACAACGAAGTTGATCAATATCATCAAGTAACTGCCAAAGAAAATTTTTATGCAGACGAAGCTCAAGAAACGCAACAACACACAGAACAATCATTTGAAACAGATGCAGACACAAAACAAGAAATTACAACAGTTGAAACTGTACTAGCATGGGATATAGATGACATTGGCACATAGCCACAATCTTTAAACAACGAATTCTGTGCCATTATACTTGAGAAAGGCCCTGTGAGAATAAAAGGTCTTGAATATCCTAAAGACATTAGAGGTAGGAAATTCACAGAAAAAAATTACTACAAAAGACTTTCTAACGGTGAAATTGTCAACAGACGGTGGCTTGTGTACTCTAAATGCAAGGATGCTGTATTTTGTTTCCCATGCAAGATTTTCAATAGTTGCAATTTTAAGATAGCAACCATGGGTATTAATGATTGGAAAAATCTTAGTCACATATTACCGGAACATGAAAAGGCACAACACCACGTTGAAAGTATGCACAAATGGTGTGAGCTGAGTGTAAGGTTAAAAGATCAGACAACTCTTGATGCCCAAAATCAAAGATTGCTGGAGTCAGAGAAGCAGCATTGGCGTCGTGTTCTTGAACGTCTATTATCTATTGTTGAATATCTATCAACAAACAATCTTGCTTTTAGAGGAAGCATTGAGAAATTATTCCAGCCCCAAAATGGCAATTTTGTGGGCCTTGTACAACTGCTGGGAAAATTTGACACAGTGATGAGTGAACATCTCCGAAGAGTAACTGAAAATGAAATACATGACCACTATTTGGGACCAAGAACTCAAAATGAACTGATCATGCTAATGAGTGATAAAGTGAGAGACAAAATTGTTTCATTGGTTACTTTGGCAAAATATTTTGCCATAATTCTAGATTGCACTCCGGACATAAGTCATCAAGAACAGATGTTGTTAGTAGTGACATTTGTCGACATTAGTGATTCAGCACAGATTACAGTTAAGGAATTGTTTATCACATTTTTAGAAGTAGAAGACGCTACAGGTTTTGGACTTCTTCAAGCTCTCCTTGATGAACTAAAACGAATGGGATTGTCCGTAATGAACATTAGAGGACAAGGCTATGATAATGGTGCCAATATGAGAGGATGCATTTCTGGCGTGCAAGCTAGATTGCTGAGAGAAAATCCATGAGCCTTTTTTGTTCCGTGTGCATGCCACAGTCTTAATTTGATTTTGTGTGATATGGCCAAGTCTTCTGTAGAAGCTATATCTTTTTTTGGTTTTCTGCAACGCATGTACGTGCTCTTTTCAGCTTCCACTCAACGATGGCAAATATTCAAAGCACATGTCAATGGTATTACCGTTAAGCCTCTATCTGAGACACGCTGGGAAAGCAGAGTAGAAAGTGTAAAAACGTTACGATATCAATCTGAGGAAGTTTACGAAGCACTGGTTGCTATTTCGGAAGAAGCCAGAGATCCAAAAGCTAAAAGTGAAGCACAGTCATTGGCCTCTGAAATATCCAGCTTCAAGTTTCTAACGTCTGTTGTAATCTGGTATGACATTCTTGTTAAAATCTCAAGTGTAAGCAAAATAATGCAGGGTCCAATGATGCAGCTTGATTCAACACTTACTAAACAACACACGAGACTTGTTAGTGAAATACAGAGAAAATGGATTCAAAGAAGCACAGGTTACAGCAAGAGAGCTTGCACAGGCACTCGGTGTGTCCGAATGTGACACGAGTTTCAAGGAAAAAACGGCAAGCAGAATATGAAGGAGCAGATGAGCCCATAGACGATCCAGAAAAGAAATTTGAGGTTGAATTTTTTAATGTTGTGATGGATAAAACAATATCTGCTGTTGATGAAAGGTTTAATACCTTACAAGTACACCATGAACAGTTTGGATTTTTGTATGACATAACTAAATTCAACGAAATAGGAAAGCAAGAGCAACTAATGACAAAGTGCAAGAACCTAGAGAGCCTCCTGAAGCACGGTGATAGTTTTGATTTAAATGGACTTGAACTGTATGAAGAATTGAGTACACTGTCATCAATGTTGCCACATGCAAAATCCGTGTGGACATTGTACAGTTTATTCATACCAGCAAACTTGTTGACATATATCCTAATGTGTACATTGCCACTCATATTCTACTGACAATTCCTGTAACAGTAGCATCAGGAAAACGGAGTTTCTCAAAACTAAAGCTCATTAAAAACTATCTCCGCTCTACAATGAGTCAGGAACGCTTGACTGGTCTTGCTATTCTTGCAATCGAACAAGACATCACTTTGTCTTTGTCATATGATGACATTATTACTGATTTTGCAGCCCAAAAAGCCTGAAAGATTGCTGTTAATTAATAACGCGCATGTGGCAAGTTTTCCAATACTGTAAGCTTATGTTTGTGTTGCTAAGAGCAAGTCAGGCACAGGGGCACCAGTTTAATAATCCCGCCTAGGTCACCATAAATCCTAAGGACCGCCCTGCAGACAGAGACATGATCTTGACATGAAAGAGTTTACAATCTAAGTGGAGACATGGTAATACAAACTGAGGAGAAGATGGTGTGGTGGGGGGGGGATGAGTAACAAGGGTTACTGATCCAGGAGCAGGAGTTAGTTTAGTGTTGTTGAAAATGCCTTATTTTAAATAATGTGACTCCACTTAATTACCCTTTTTTTTCTGTATCCTGACCTCATTGTTGCTTTTATTATTCCTTGTTTTTTATTTTTGCCTATTTTGCACACATATGAAACTGGCAAGGGTTAAAATAAACATTTTTTTTTAATGGGAAATAATTTAAAATGCCAGGAGTAAAAATAACAAATGGGAAAATTTATATAAGCGAGGGCTTTGTATATATGAAATGTTTGTACCGCTGGATGGCATCCCCTGGCATAAAGATGCCACCTTTATCTCCTCGCCCTGCTTCCACAGTCTGAGCCTTCATCTACCCACTGAATGGGGATCTATTGCAGTTCCTCATCATGCATCACCTCTCCAGAAATACCAAATCCCACTGCAGGACCCTGTATCGTGAAACCATTCAACTAGAACTGAGTCAAGTTTTTGGAGTAATTTAGCCTCTTTTTTGTCCACAAATTCCACAGACAGATAGGAATTTTCCTCGCATTTATTCATCATGTGAGGTAATCGGTAGAATAATTTTTCCAAGTACGCTTTGACATGTGGATTGTTCACGAGGAGTTTGTTTCAAGTATTGATACTTTGAATCTGAGCTGTTTTGTTTGGATAAATTGTATTGTTTGATCCATGACTGAATGAGCCTAACCCTTACTCAGGTTTCCCATGAGAACATTTCATGATCACTAAATTCAGAATTTGCTGTCTATGAATATGATCCAATATCCACTTGCCATTTCTGCCAGCATTGGAATATTGGCCAGAAATTGAATGGGAGCTAAGACATCCAAAGTAAACATTCCTGGAAAAATTGAGGTCTCTTCCTGCCCTAATTCAAACCTCACAAGCGTAAGCCAGCTCTAAACTTTTCTTCTTTCTCAGGTGTATCCATGGTAAATGCACGGCTGCCAACTTTGCTTACACATGTAAGTGCTCAGAGGGTTATATGGGCCTGTACTGCGACAAGAAGAATGACTCCTCAAACCCCTGCAGAATTATGAAATGCAACCATGGGCAGTGTAAAATTTCAGAACATGGGGAGCCATACTGCGAATGTGACCCTAACTATAGCGGAGAACATTGCGACAAAGGTATGCCTGGCTACAGTGCCTTGGATGCTGCTTTGCTGTCATTTCTATTCACGTTTGTCTTCACTCTTCCTCCATTTAACTCTTATTAATGGGACAATGGCCCCTTCAGAACCATTGAGGGAGGAGGAGAGGGAAACCACACAAGAGCTGGCCAGAAGATGTCTGACTGCGTAGAAAAGGGTAGATCTATGATAATAGCTCTGTTCCTCCTGAATCCTGGAAGTTTGTAGCTCTGTTGTTTCTGAGTGGGATGTGTGAGTGGAGAGGGCTTGGGATGTGGGTGCTTTTCTGTGGCATCTTTCCCTTCATACACTACAAGGATTGTCCTCACTGCATTATTGGGGATGAAAATTCCCCCCAGCACACTGAACCACATCCACAATGGGGAAGTTCAGAAAGGCAAAGGCAGAATTCCCAGGAAGCACTGCTCCTTTAGGAACCATGTTGTGTAGGATGAGTAATGTGAGTTGCCCTCATTCCTTCCCTCTCCTGAGCTGTACAGGTTTGAAATTGGGTCTCAAGGAAAATTCTTAGCTTTTCCTGTATTCCTATTGGGCTTTTGGGGAGGCCAAGCCCCCTGTCTGTTCCACACCTGTTTTGCCCCCAAATTAAATGGCCTATTAGAAACTCAGAAAGTTATAACACAGTCTTCTAGTCCTTCCTTTATTCCCCCACAAAAGCAGCAGTTTGGCCCATAATGTTTTATTTAGGTAGCAGCTTTCATCTGAAAGGATCACAGTCTTTGCAAATTCCATGACTCTGACTGCTGCACAGTGACTGCACAATAGGTTAGGACAGGAATTGTTGCCAAGTATACTTGGGCAAACCCCAGATTATTAAAGTTCATACAGAATAGGCTGAATGTTGGGTTTGAGGATCTCCTCTAAAGACCTACACAGAGCACGCTGCATGGAACTCCATATATCTAATCTGAAAGGATGTAAGGACAGATCGACCTTACCAAGATTTGTATCCGTGGCTCTAGGGAGCTTAAGTGTTTCAAATGTAAGTCTCATGTTATTAAACCATTCCCATGGCTAATAATGGTCTTACTATTAATATATTTTTTCCATTTTCCATCTAATATGGGAATAATATATACTTTACAGGGATGTTGGAAGCTTAAATAACTATTGTTTGTTAAAGCATCTCCAGTTCTGTTGAAGGCAACAGGCCTGATTCTACAATGCCTTGTATAAATACATACCTGCACAAAGAGAGTACTATTCTGTCCTGATAGCATTTTACACCTCGTACAAAGCAGTGGAGAATGGAGACCCTGTGCACTGTTGTTTGCCTTTAATAAAATAAATGTCAGTACATGCACAGGGCTGTTTGGTGGGGAGGGGGTTACAAGATAATTATCACCTTCTCCATCCTTCCTCTCTCTAACATTCTTGGGGTTCATTAAGTAACAAGCCAGTGAATGAGAAAGGAATAAAACTTTAATAACGCAAACTGGGGAGCGTCTCTGGTGAACTGCTGCGCACAGCCATGCGGTGTTCCCAACCCCTGCCTCCAGGGCACATCTCCAAATTCCTATGTTTATAATACTGTCCCTTATGAGAGAGCATCTTTAAATTATAATCTCCTACAAACCTCTCTCTACACTCTCCATTGTCTTAACAGAGAATCTTTGCCAAGGGGAGATTGTCCGAGAAGTGATCCATAAGCAGCATGGCTACAGCTCATGTGTCACTGCCTCCAAAGTTCCCCAGATGGAATGTCGTGGCAGTTGCAGTAATGGGCAGTGTTGCGTTCCCCTCCGGAGCAAAAGGCGGAAATACATCTTTCAGTGTGTGGATGGATCCTCCTTCATGGAAGAACTGGAGAGGCATGTGGAATGCGGCTGCTCAAAATGCTTATAAGCCATTCTCCAGTCTCTTGCCACTTTAATCGACTCAGAAATGCTCTCAAAATGGGACTATTTACTTTCAGCGTGAAGAAGAAGAAAAGAATATTAAGTATATTGTAAAATAAACAAAAAATAGAACTTATTTTTATTATGGAAAGTGAATATTTTCATCTTTTATTATATAAAGTATCACACCATTTCGGGTATATGTATCATATAGTGAGTTATTTTTACCATAAAACTTTTTTAACAGTTGTTAAAAAAATTAAAAATGTTTTTAAAAAATAAAGAAATCCTAACAAAAGGAGAAATGGGGTAAGTTTATAAGCATGCACGATGGCCAAATGTGAAGATATTTCAAGGACCTGCCACAAAACGATAGATACAGACTGAAAAAAATATTCTCCGAGGTTCTGATGGGTACAACGGGAAAGCACATTCTCACATCTGACAGCCATCTCTTCTATCTGTGCACCCTGAAAAAATCTCCCTCTCGATTCTTACCCTTGCCTAATAATGCTAGTTTGTGTTTGGTTCCTGTACAGTGGCTCAGCTTGATACTCTTGAACCAGTTCCCCAAAAAGTGCATCGGTCTGGCAGTAGCCCAAGTCTGACATTGACTCCATTACTCAAGTACTATAATAGTAGAATGCATTTTTGTTTTGTATTTTGTATTTTTATCTGTCTTCCCAGTATATTCTTGAGTGACTGTATCGCTATAGAACGGACAACTCTATCCAAAAGGAAGTGGGGGAGAGAATGTGGTAAACACAGTTTGGGATGTTTTTGTCCAAAAAGGCAAAAATAAGTGCTAAGTGACTCCAATTAAGCAACATACTAACTACTACTTACCCTTCCTGTGTTATTTCCCAGGTTTATGCCTCACTGCTCTCAGCCTTGAGTTCTTTTTTGTATATTAAATGTGGGGAATACACTACAATGAAGTTTGGCAAACCTAGACACTGCAGCTTTCAAAGTTCATGTATAAATCCATTTTAAAAGAGAGTGAAAATATCCCAAGAACCAGAATTTACCTTGCTGATATATTGTACTTTATTCCCACTTTCATTTATTTCAGCCAAAATTTTACTCCATGCCACAGTTGCCTATTAATACACACTCTATGGTACATGGCCAACATGCTACTTCTCCACCTGCTACTTCTCAAATTAGTGTAAGTTGCACTATACGCATGTGGAATTCCTATAGGTCTGCTGTCTGTCCCACCTTAACAGAGATTTCATCTGTTCTTAAGGAGACTCTTGATATCTCCATATAGTTTTGCTCTCGCTTTCCACTATATAGATTGACTGATCCATGCTAAAAACGTTTTCACCTGCACTATTGTATATTCTGCACTTGTTCCTCCCACAGGACTCCCATTGACTTTAATAGGAGCCGTGTGTGCAGAATAAATTCTGAATATGCAGCAGAGATGCATGTAGATGACAAATTCTCAGTGTGAATCTGAGAGGTGATTTTTACCCTTAGGGTGTTGGGGGGTTTGCCAGGGTTTAGGGTGACCAGACAGCAAGTGTGAAAAATCGGTACAGGGGGTGAGGGGTAATAGGAGCCTATATAAGAAAAAGACCCAAATATCGGGACCGTCCCTATTAAATCGGGACATCTGGTCACCCTACCAGGGTTACCTGTTAGGGACATTGATTACATAACACAAGCCTTGAAGTGCTCTATTACCATGAATTTCAAACCTCCCTGTCAATTACTGTTCCATTGTTTCCTTAAGTAATTTCTCTCTTTCTCCCTGCAAGGATACTGAGTATAGTGGTCCTTTCTTCAATGAGTATGTTTGTGAGAAACAGCTAAGTCAGAGCTTACGCCTTGCAGTTTTGGCCTGCTCCAATGCCCATTGAAGTCAATGGAAAGGATCTGGCCCTTTAAGAGCAGGGGCAGAAAGAGAGCTCATCAGTTAAAAAATAAAAAAAGTAAATAATTAGTTCTTTTGCCTGAATGAGGCTTTAAAAAAAAAAAAAAAAGAGCATGAAACAGATTCCTGGGATAGCCAGAACAACTTTACATTCCCCTCAGAAAAAAAAAACAGACACTATTGCAGTTACAATGTAAATCTTTGTCCTTTTTTGGAACCAGCAGCCCTAAGATGCTTATAGGCCTTATTCTAATTAAAACCTTTTTTATCCATAACAGTGTAGTCAGCGTTCCTTTTTGTTTCCCAGAGTAATTTGGGCAGGAGGGAAGTGAGTGATACAATAGAAGTTTTTCAGAATAAATACTAGTACAATGGAGCCTGCAATCAGTGAAACATAAAACAATCACTACTTAATGTGCCAAAAACTGATTGAAATAGTACAGTTCAGGAACCAGAAAAAAACCAGTTATATATAGCGTAGGTTTCATTTCATTTCGAGTGATAATATGTGACTCTAGAAGCAGCTGGAGTTTATAAAGTTAAAAAAAACACAAAACCTCCCTGCCCCCCAATCTGTAGATTCTAAAAATTTGTAAAAGCAACTAACTGCACACGCTTGTATAAACATGGCCCTGGTACAAATCTACTATTATTAATGAAACATTCTTTCTCAGTGCATTTTCGTAGATGCAGTTAGCCATCATTTCAGGGAAGACAAATCAAGACTTGACCAGTGAATCGCAGTGCTTCAGCGCTCTTAATGTTTTAAAGTCTCATTAGTAAGATGGATAATTGGCTGCCAGTAAACCGCCAAAGCATTGTGTGGCATTGCTTTCCCCGAAAACTAATTGAAATTGTAGCCAATGGTTTCATCCAAACAGCAGCATGACTGAGAGAAAATAATGTTTCCTCCCTCCCACCCCTCCCCCCAATCTTCTGACAGATTTTTAAATTCTGACTCTGTTACCAAAGGCAAAAAAGTCATCAATGGCCGCTTAAATGAACCGCAGACTGACGTGTTAACCAAAACTTCACAGCAAAATGATAATAGCTACAGTACAGTAGGGCTGGCCCTGTTCTGTAATCACAGTCAAGTGCTGTGACATACAAATAACTCAGAATTCCTATTTTTTAAACCAAAAGAAGCATTTTTACACATTTCTAGACAGCAGTTGCGTGACAATCACTGCCATGTTTCAGATCAGTGATTTTACTGGCTTACTATGGAAGTACTTTGCTTGGTTTAATTAAAAAAAATTAATGGTGCCAAAAATATGAGTTTAACTGAAGTGTTTAATTAGCTCTGGAAGTTTCCTCTGTAACCTGCCTGTTACAGTAGATATCAGCTGCTGTAGGTACAATGCAGTAGTTATTTTTTAACACTATTGAGTTTTTAATAAAGTGAAGAAAGATGCTAACCCTAAAAAAAGAACAAGTAAGAGGGCAATGCAGACTGGTGTGAATTAGTGTATTTTATTAACAGACTCTCATTGTGATGTAATTTTTAAATAAAGTGTTGGGTTATGGAAGATTATAACCTATCCTGTGGTGTGATGCAGATTATTTCTCTCGACTGTGTATTTTGGGTATCATGGTCTGGCTACGTCATGTCTCTTGTACCAGTGAGGTAGCTGAAGTATTGCAATGAGAACATACACAACTTTGGTCACAGCGACAACATAACTTCCTGTACAGGCAACTCCAATGCATAAGAAGGTCTGGAAAATTATCCCCTCTTGGAGTTTCCATCACATTCTTTCTTTGGGCATAAAGGGACTGCATTTGCCCCACTGAAGAAGCCATAGTAGTAACATTTACATTATGGTAGCACTCACAGGACCTACTCAAGATTGCCCCTCCCCCTTGTGCACAGAGGTCTGCCACCAAAACCAGCAGCTGCCAGAGATTTTCGTGAATCCAGAGACATGAAGTCACCCTGGCACAGTTGCTGCGCCTCTGCTCCTTCCAACACCCTGTCAGTATGAGCCTTTGCTGACAGGGGCTTCCCCACTGAAGAGCGAGTTCAGTGGCACGGAGGGAAAAAGTGGAGCAGTGTAAGATTATCCATGAAAAGTCCATGAGATGACAGTGAGTGATGTCTCCCTGGCCCCAGGCCCTCTCTTGACTCCCACTAAGGGCCTTCTGTGGTGGGGAGGAAAGGTGGGGATATGTTGCTGCTGTGGAGGTGGCACTGCTCACGCCTGGACCACCCAATCCTCTGGATCCCAGTAGCCTGTGATTGCAGAGTACAATATGGCCCTAAATCACCAAATCTTCATGATTTTCCAAACAATGAGAGATATGATTGAAATAGAAACTGGCTGAACCATAATGTGGTGTTTATGATAACACAGTGAAATCAACCAGGTCAGGGAAGGGTCAAAGGAACCCAAATCAGTCAGTCAGAGCTTTCAAAAACTGATTATTTGGAAAGACTTATGTGATGTTATCTAGGTGACATCCTCTCCCATTTTCTGATTAGTCCATCCTAGACACTGACGTCCCAGTATTATTTTGGTAACCCTAGTTCCCAGTCTTGAAGTCAAAGCAACAGCACAGATGAGCCCAAAAAAAGTGGGTTAAAAGACCAGCACTGAAAGCGAGCATTTGAGAAAACAGCCATGCTAGGCAAGCAGTGTGGCTTAAATCATCTGTTTTTGGCTGCCTGCTAACAAAAATAAGTACTGTTATTGCTGTAACAGAAGGCGCAGATCATTCACACACATCAAGCAAGTGTGTTGTAAGATGGCAGAGTTCTGCTGTGAACAGGGCGGGCTCTGGCTTTTTTGCCGCCCCAAGCAAAAAACGCCCGGCCGGAGCAGCAAAGTGGGGGGGGACAAACCAGCCGGCCGGAGCAGCAAAGCGGGGGGGGAACAAACCAGCCGGCCGGAGCAGCAAAGGGGGGCGGGAAACAAACCTGCCCCCGGCCAGAGCGGCAAAGCGTGGGGAGGGGGACGGGAAACAAACCTGCCCCCGGCCGGAGCGGCGGGGGTGAGAGGGAACAAACTGGCCGGCCGGCCGGAGCAGCGAAGGAAAGAAAAAACAACAAACAAAGATACCTGCGGGGCAGCAGGAGCGTGGGTGCAGGGGGACTCCCGGCCCTGCAGACCCCGGGCAGCGGAGTGCGCACCCCGGCTAGCTGGGGGGGAGAGAGAGAAGGGGGGCGGCCAGGGCTTCCTTAAGCGGGGTGCTTGCCACGCGGCCCCTCCCGCTGCGCCGCCTGCCAGGAGGGCTCCGCGCCGCTCCGGTCGGCAGGCAGGGAAGGACGCGGGCTGCCCTGCCGGGCTTGCTGCAAGGCGCTCCCGTCCTCCGCCCCCTACAGGGAGGTGGGTGCAGCAAACCAAAAAGAAAAAAACCTGCAGGGGCAGCCAAAGCGGTGAAGCGCAAAAAAAAAAAAAGGATTGGACGGAATGCCGCCCCTTGGAATCTGCCACCCCAAGCACAAGCTTGCTCGGCTGGTGCCTGGAGCCAGCCCTGGCTGTGAAACATAAAATACATTCAGAATACAGAACATCACATGAGCCCTACAAACCCTGAGTGAACACAGCTACCCAATCATCTTTATTTGTATAGTTCACACACACACACAAACACACACACACACACATGCTCAGGGTGATGTACACCACATTAAGAATATAGTAAAATATTACAACCCATTCGCAGATCCTGATCCAATTCCCATTAGAGTCAGATGTTTGCTTATAGATGTACTACTTTTTCCATGGAGCCCCTTCATCGCATAGAATGATTGGGGGGAACTCCAAGGAGAGCCTCTTCCACAGAATCTGGCCTGCATCTCCCAGTTTCTACTGTACTGTGCATTTTCTCGTTATAGTAGTCATGTAAAAAAATGCAAGAAATACCACTTGTGTAAACCATGATAACAGAGTGACTTTGTCTTCCTCTAGTGGTTAGAGCACGCAAAGAATATAGTGGGCATGCGTGTGCGCACAACCACCCATGGATGGCGGTGAGCATTTACGGACTACAACAACACTTACTAATGCAAGTTGAGTCCTCAAAATGGGTTGCAGTCAACCAGGGAGTAATATGGACGCCCGCAAAACCCCAATGTACATTAATCACCTATTTTAAATTTGCTGCTACACTGTTGTTGCTAAATATTGCTAGTGACCCTTTGTGGCAGGAACTATTTGGGGGGGGAGTGTTGTACAGTGCTTAGCACAGCAGTGCTACAACAAACCAAGTAAGTAAGGTGTCAGCAGGGCCAGCTCTAGCGTTTTTGCCGCCCCAAGCAGGGGGGGCTGGAAAAAAAAGCCGCGATCGCAAGCGGTGGCAACTCTACCGCCGCTTCATTCTACTGCGGCAATTCGGCGGCAGGTCCTTCACTCCGAGAGTGAGTGACAGCCCCGCCGCCGAACGGCCGGACGTGCCGCCCCCCTCTTCATTCACTGCCCCAGGCACCTGCTTGCTAGGCTGGTGCCTGGAGCCGGCCCTGGGTGTCAGAATTATGGAAGGATTAGGACACTGTGGCACCGAAAATATTTAGCTCAGTGACCTTGAATGGTTGTGTCTTTGAGGAAGACCCTTTCTTTCCACGAGAAGTGCTTGTGCTGGAACCAAATACTACACTGAGCACTGTAAATGTACCTAGAGAGAGGGGACAGATGGTCTATGAATTGCTTGGATATTCTTTTTAAACTAGCTTTTCTGCTTCCATTTCATTGCCAAGTATAGCATGTCAGACTAGGGTTTTAGTCTTTCAGACTTTTATTAGCTGACATTAGAAATAATATGTTTATTGACTGAATCGTTGCTCACTGGCTAACATAACCCCAACCCTAATCATCACCTTTTGATCATTTTTCTTAGTTGTCCCAATAGCACTTGGGAAAATTTTACAAACCCTGCAAATTTACATTTTATTCTCCAACAGTTAACAAACCTGAGTATTAAGCCTACTACCCAGGGTGAAACATACTAGCCCAATGTGCCCTCTGCAATTTAAAAGTAATGCAACAGCAATATACCGTTTATTATTTACTTGTAATATTGTGAATCAACTTTTGATTTGATAGAATAT